GGAAATGATCTATTGGTAGGTCACCTATGAGCTACAAATAGAAGACGCCTAGAAAGCCCAAACACTTCTCCAAATGACTACCAACTACAGGGGCCCACCTTGTGTCATCTAATCCCTACTCTAACACTTCTAACACCCCATGATGATCTCCTAACTCCTACATTCAGATTTGAAGCATGAGGGAGTGAGAATGCAAAGGAGAGAGAGTGGTTGAAAAAGCATGGGAGAACCATGCTTTGACTGATTTTGCTTGTTTTGATGGACAACCTATCTCCAATGATTACATGTCAGTCACTCATGCTAAGGGGGAGGGGCATAGACGAAATTATCAATCTCTTACACACAATTTCAGATTATCATACTTTTAAAGAGAAAAGGTCCAAGGTAGAAGATGAAGTTCTAGTAAATAAGAAAATTCAGATTCACGAATAGCCATTCAATCGGTGGGAGGCAGTCATAGGGAAGTTGTCTGGAGTAAAAACAATGTTTAAAACATGACTAAGGTAGGCACCGCTCGTGGCCTTTTCCCATTTCCTTTTCTAAGTCATAAAGAGATAGATCTAGCAAAAGCTAGCAAGCATAGATCGATCCCTATTGATTTTTAAGCACAAAACCATGCAAAAACCTGTCATTTTGAGCACTAAAAGGTGTTGCTCAAAGAGGGGGTCCAATTGTGACTTTGTAGGATTTGAACCTACGACATTGGGTTTTGGAGACCCACATTCTACCAAACTGAACTAAGAGCGCTTTCTTATCAGAATAAATAAGATTGTAAAGAAAAGGATTTTTTTGTAACCCAACTACATCTTGTAAGCATATACTATATAGTATCATAAAAATGAAAGATTATGTATGTCCAATTTGAATCGATCTTAATTAATCCTTCTTACCACTCAAATGAAAAGTAATAGGTAGGGATGACAAGAATTGAACCCATAAAATTTTGCACCCAAAACAAAAGCGCTACCAAGCTATGCTACATCCCTTCAATTGGTCTACAGTTTCATTGTAGAAAAATCCTATCTTGTTTTGCACATCGTTATTTGCTCCTTCAACTCATAAATGGTGTAGAAAAAAAATTTTAAAATCATCTAGGAGTTATAATCAGATTGCTTCCAATTCCATATTTATCATAATCAACCTAAGTTAAAATAACTACAGGTTCATCTTAGGTGTCTAGGTCATTACCTTTGTCCCAAGCTTGAAGTTGCATATAGAGGTTGAATGATGTAGCTTTAATGCTTAATCTCCTCTATTCAATGATGCTTTCAGATCTTGACCTTGATAGCATCATGAACATAGAATAGGTTGAGATTTTACAATGAAATCCATAAAATTAGTCAATTACAAATATGATCTAACAAACTACACAATTAAAAAATTAAAATTACAACCCTCAAACCATTGAACAAAAGCAATTTGTAAACAAATCTCAACACTAGTGTATAAGTCCCTAATATCTAAGTAGAAGAGCTATCTTCAAATGTAGCTTTGAAGATACAAGTCCTGCACATCACCTACCTTTTGAAAAACATAATACGTAAGATAGACACAAGATAATCACACGTACGAACCAAGACAAGCATTAGGCATATTCATGCTAACATCATGCAAGTGTAAATATGTAGCATATATAAGAACTATTTTACCCAATATGCCTGAGAACCTATAGATATAGCAATGACAATGCATAAGAAGTTCTCCTCTTTAGTTGGTGACCACAAGTAAAATAAAAAGTGTAAAATATCTGACGTCGTGCCAAGTTTGTGAATGTACTCCCTCTGAGTATTAGAACAAACTCCCCCTTACTCTAATCACATGTAACTTACTAAAGCTAGTCAAGAGAAAATGTCCTCGAATTCTCTCATATGTACCCAAAATATGCTCCTTTTTTTTGTCACAAAGTGTCAAACCAATAACGTATCATGACAAGCATGGGACATAATCAAGTCATCTCAAAATATTCTTCCCTATTTGTCACAAGGTGTCAATCCAGTAACACATCATAGCAAACACGACATAGAATCAAGATATAACAAGAGTGTATCAATTTAAACCAACTAGCAAAAATAGGTATGTAAATCAAAGCAAAAGACAGACAAAGAATATAACTCCAAGTCTAAAATGATAAATGCACTTAAGTACATGACAAGAAGTGCGCCACAACAAAAAATAATAAACAAGTGCAAAAATCAATATAAAGGAAAGGTCAACAAGAAAAAAATGGGATACTTTAAGTATAGAACATGAATAAATAACTCTCATAAAAGCTCCCATATGGTCCTATAATAAAAGTCTCCTAAGTAGCTCTTGTGGCTGCATTATCTCCACCATTTCAGTCACCCTCTCTGTGTCCATCACCATGTTGAGGCAGTTCCATATCTAACTCATCAATGTTGTCTAACACTCCCTCTCCCTCAATCTGTTTTCCCTTGATCAACTGCCTAAGTCTCTCTACTCTGCGAATAATCGATGCAGGTGCAGACTCCTAGGACTCTTCAAGCGTTATGATCCTACCATCTAATATATCTAACCTCTGTGAAATGAGACAATGATGCTCTATCATGGTACGCTCAACCATTGTAGGCATGTCAACCAATGATGCCAACTTGGCAACAGGAATGTCTAAAATTGACTCAGGTGGTTGTGATCTAGACGAAATAGTCACTAGGTGAACCGGTGGTGCACGAGGTCTAGTCTTTAACATGTGGATCCTCATCTCTTCTCCTTTCTCCTCTACTACAACAATATATACAGCTTGGGTCTTGCTCTATTTTAGTGAACTTTTGTTCAAATGCCACACGGTGTTTTGCTTCTGACCCTTGGGTAAAACTACACTCTCTTACCCTTGTAGATACTAGTGATCAATGATCCAAAAGGTAGACCATCTAATATTCTACCCTCCAAAAAGGTCGCCAAATAAACCAAAAAATCATCGATGGTAGATCAAGATCTAACCATGTCCATATAGCATGTAGTATATGTGCTCTCTAAATTGGGAAGTCTAAAATATGGGTTTTTGATTCGATGTTGTAGTTGGCTATTAGGTTCACATCCTATAGTTTAGGGTTAAATGCTTTTGAAAGAAATTCAATGTGACCTGATGTTTAGGATGAGTTATACCATACAACTCAGTAACCAAAACATGGAGATGAAACAATTGATCAACTAATCTCACACTTAGGGCATCATTTTCGACCCTAGGTAGGTTAAGTGTGGTAGCAATGTGATTTATAGAGAACGTGAACTCTATACCTCAATTATGTACACATGCATGGATGAAATACATATGCAAATATGATGCAATTTTTAGTTAATTAATCATAAAAATCACACATTATCATTAAAACATATCCATCCAAATTTCATCATCTAGCACACTACTCTAAGGCATATTAAGGAATTTAAAAACCAATTTTCATGCATCCTATAACAATGGCCTCTCACTTAGTTCAATTTCACTCACATGTGTTCAAATTTTGTATCTTTGATCAATTCATATGCAATGTGTTTGAAGCCAAACTCCAACAAAATTAAGATCATTAATAAATCTCTACATGAAATCCTAATGCATCGTCTAAGTGAACACATGATCGTTTAGTAAGTGTCCTAATCAATTTCTCTTTTTTGACACTCCCCCTTTATTTTATTCCTTTTACTCATATGACTTCAATTATCACGATTGTGAATTCCATAATTTTACAAATATGCTTCTTAACGTGATTAACATAANTTTTTGACACTCCCCCTTTATTTTATTCCTTTTACTCATATGACTTCAATTATCACAATTGTGAATTCCATAATTTTACAAATATGCTTCTTAACGTGATTAACATAAGCTCTTTGAGCTTTACGATTGAACAATGAAAATTAGCATTAGTACTCTCAACAATTCCAGTGTAATTGGTTTTAGCCATTTATTTTATACCTTGTCTTTTTAAATGTTTCCACATTGGGCTCTTTTCCCTCATTTGTCTCTTTGACATCTTTTAAAAGATTGGGACTTTATTAACCTTTAGTTATGTGTTCACCTATCACCAACACTTAGGACTTGTTTGGTAGACGTATTAGGTGGGGATTAAATATTAGATTGTACTATTTTTTATTTAATCGGGCCTAATATTTTGTTTGGTAAGCAAATTTGATACCGTATTAATTTCAAAAAAATATATTAATCATATACTTATCGTATATTTTTTATACTATAAACCTGTATTATAGAAGTATTTTAATACCACCAAGAGAGCTGGTATTATAATTCAACTCAAACGTATTATTCTATACAGTTACTAATATAACCCTCCAACAGATAAAATCAAGTTGTCATCAATGTAACAAATACTGATTGAGGATATTTTTATTAATTCAACATTAATACGATGAAATAATTCTCTAACTAAACAACTGATTGGATTAAATAACTATTATCCAACGTTTATATTGTGTATTTCCAAACACTAGATACAATTACGTATTATTCTAATACCCTATTCAATCTTGTCTTTTGTCCTGCTATATTGTATTAGACTGGATTATTTTATATAATTCATGCATTTATAATACGGCAACCAAACAAGCCCTTAGAGTCATGCAAGTCATTAATTTTTCTAACTTGCAAGACTCCTAAGTATAAACGTGAATGGTTGGCGTATACTTGATTTTATGAATTTTTACATAGAATACATTATCCAAACATGCTAAGGGAAAAGAGAATTAATTCGAGGACCATGCAATATGATTTATAACTACTAAGTTCTCTATTCTTTAACAGGTCTTATAGTAGTGCACAAAACTTTGATCTGAGGATGGATACATTTCAAATAAAACCAAAGAGTGATTACCATGATCAACCAAGAAAAAAAACAAATAAAATCTTTTTGGCCTTTTCTTTTTTCAATGTTTTTGAAATTTTCAAATAACACATAAATAGAAAAATGTGCAAGAACAAAGAAAAATTAAAACACCTACGATAAATCCTAAAAAGAATGTCAAACTTGACATCACATTTTTTTTTGGGTTTTCATTTTTGATTTTTTTTTCTTATAAGAAACAAATCAAAATAAACAAAGAAAAATATATACAACATATGACCCTAGGATGTTTGATGCAATGCATGAATGATACTCCTAGGTTCATGCTACTCACCTCACTTACTTCTTAGGTTACTTGACTTTGTTGGAAGCACTCGGGGCATCCTATAAAACCCAAAAAAAATTGATTTTTTATAAAAAATGGCAAAACGGTAATTAGATGCTATGATATGGGTTGAAAATCTAAATTTTTCTAGAACTTGGATGACGAAATAGATCACACTAGTGAATTCGTCTCACGAAATCTAGTTACCCAGTCAATTTTTGTTGAATTCTGAGACAATCAAATTTTTCATATTTTACGAGACAATCTAGTGTCGCGTGACCAAAATAAACGCGATTGGGAATTAATTGCGAAACATGGAAAATAATTTAAAGTTACTTCAAATAAAATATGTTGAACTTAAAATAGGATGATATTTAATTGATTCAGGACAAAATCGGATCAGTAAAAGACGGGATGTGTGGTACGTTGTGAGCCAAGTATTTGGGGAGTATAAAAAGGGGGAAAATCAGATTTTTTTTTCCCCGTTTCTCAGCCTTGCATTTTTGGAAAATAGAAGGGAAGAGAAGAGAGAGAAAAAGAAGGGTTCTTCAACCTTCTCTCTAAGATCTACGGCTCTACGTTCATCGAATCGCTTTGAGCCAAGAACAAATATTGTTCTATGCGACGTAAGCTACAAAACTATACAAAATATAACGGGTTTCATCAAAGTCTCAAGATAGAGATTTTTGGGGTCAAGCAATTGAGGCTAGAGTTGGGTTTCTTGGAGTTTTTCTTACGTGTATTATGCTTGAAGAGATAGGATTTTTCTCGTATTTAAGTTTATTTTCAACCTAGGATTTCATATGAAATGAGTAGTATGACTTGAGATGAAATCTCTTGTCTAAAT